CCTAATGATGCATTTGAGCTAACGATAAAAGAATGGGAATTAGTATCGCAGGCTTTTATAAATCGGAGACGTGGGATTCTGCTGACCATTGTTAGTCTATTAGTAGCGGGAAGATTGGAAAATGATGGGCCAAGAGAAGGGAGAGCGATATTTCGACATGACGGTTTTTAGAGCGCAGCTCTTAGGGGCCCGTTTCCGGCTTGAGCGGCGTCGGCGTCGCCGTTGGCGTAACCCCGAGGTCACGTGACCCCCCCCCCCCGAGGTCACGTGACCCACCCAGGTCACGTGACACTCCTAGGTCACGTGACCCCCGAGGTCACGTGACCCCCCTAGGTCACGTGACCCCCAGAAGTCACGTGACCCCCTTAGGTCACCTGACTCCTTGAGGTCACGTGACCCCCTAAGGTGACGTGACCCCCTGAAGTCACGTGACTACTGGGGATCACGTGACCCCCTAAGGTCATGTGACCCTTCAGGTCACGTGACCCCCGAGGTCACGTGACCCCCAAAGGTCACGTGAGCCCCTGAGGTCACGTGACCCCCGGAGGTCACGTGACCCCCTGAAGTCACGTGACCCCCTTGAGGTCACGTGACCTTAAGGAGTCACCTATCCCTCAGTACGCTTCCATCTTCCTCCTCAAGAGCTGCGCTCTAACCGGCGTTACAGGGAATTGTAAACGGCTTTCATTTTTTTCTAGGCCGACTAAAATCATGAACCAAAACAACGGTTTCAAAGGAAAAAGAAGGAAACACATGATAGGTGCGATGCCGCGTCTTCGGTGAGATTTAGGGATAGCGTAGTCAGGCAACAGTTAAAGGACAGCAGTGTTGTAGGCGGTACCGAAAAGAATACCGAAATAGGTTACTTGCTACTTTCGAATGAGAAGAACACGTTGCCGATCTGCGTTACATCAAAATAAAAGTAACGATTTACCGTTACAGATAAAAAGTAGCCGAGGTTACCTTTGCGTTTTTTAAATTTACGGATTACTCCGCCTTAGAGTTTTTATGTTACCCGTATGCATGAGTGCCATATATCAAAAGTCATTATGTCCATGCATAACATTAACATAATTACCTTATATTTTTTTTTACGGTTCTGATTTTGAAAAGATTTGGGATAGGTGCAGAAATGTATATAAATTGGCGCCTAGAAACAAAATATTGTACGGTATTTGTTTTTTCGAAAGAAGACGTAGTGACTAATTAACGACATTAGCTGTTACTGTAGATAAGTTTGTTCTCTGTTATCACGTTACCGAAGTACGTTATCAACGTTACCAAAAAATGCAACGCGTTACCGCCAGTACAGAAGGTCGGGAGACATGACCCACACCATCTACAATAATCAGTCTGAGAACATCCTCCTCTTCCTTCGTAGAACGCCATCATAGTCGGTTCGCTTCAACTCAGCAATAGACCGATCTAAATTGACGTTGCGCGACGCCAACGCTGCCACGGTGCATTCTGGTACCTGTAGTTCTCCCTAGCCCTCCGGCCGCACCAATGCTCGTTGTACGGCGTTTGGAAATTTCCGGGTTATCACGAGACTTTTATTCAAGTGTTTACTCGTGGTTTTCGATGGGTGGTTTCACCTGTTATGTGCCAGGGTGCTACAATAACAGCACCAGGCAAAAGAAAATCGAATTCTATGTCTCCCCGAAGAAAGCAGCCCCGAAAAGTGCGACTATGAAAGGTATTTGTTTGGCGATCTGCTTCATAATTCATATTCAACCCATTGCACGTTAGTTAAAGAGTGTAAGATTACAGGGCAGGAGACATAGAAGGGATTGCCGAAGTATTCCGCACGTTGGAGTCTCCCTCAGCACTCGCTCCGTAGATGGTCCACCCGTTGGTTTATCTGCACTGGCTTGCGGCGGCCCTGTTTAATACACTTTTTGCTCAATGCATTTTGGTAGTTGTAACCGCTATTGCGACGACATGTTTCGAGCACAAGTGTGCTTCAAAAGATCAGAACATTCACTAAAAAAGGACCAGCGTTTACCGCTATGTGTCACTTGAGATAAAACGACTTTCTTGAAAGCGGTCTTAATTTTTTTTTTCTATCAAAACGTGAGATCACTACATAATGCAATCTAGAAATGCAACACTTACCACCAAAAACGTAGCAAACGTTATGCCACAACTCTATTTTGTTATGTCTATTATGCCTTAACTCGATTTTGGGTGGCATTACTTATCCATTCTGCATTAACATCAATCGAGACGGCAGACAAAAGCTTCCACCATCGGACATCGGTTAGCATTCGGACCTTGCGTAAACAAAACAAAACTGAGTACAAACGCTATATAAAAACTCGTCTCCACCCAGTTTCCAGTTGTCTGGCATGGTCGCTTCTTTTTGACAGATGCGAGATGTTACGGCGCGTCAGGGGTGGCCTTTCTGTAGGTCGTTTCTTCTTTGCGTACAGGCTTCTCACCGCAGTTGATCTGTACCCTGTTGCACAGGCTGACAACCGGAACAGAACGACTTTTAGAGAACAGTCGCTCGCCGACAAAGTTTATTTAGCTCTTCTTTATTGACGATTAAACGTTATGCACAAGCCTGAGCACTATCAAGCTCAGTTTTCCACCGACACGTTTGGTCCTGTTCCGCGGTGCTACACTGAGCCAAAGATTTCTAAATTTTGTGTTCTTTGCCACTGAACTATATGATCACTTGTTTACGCGTTCAATGAGACGTCTGAGCAGCCGGAGTGCTCGAATAGTGGCGTCGTTGTTTCTTCCGCGACCGCAGTGGGACCTTCGCGTGAACGCAGTGGGTTCACGCGTTCACAGAGACGAAGAAGCATACGACGAGGAGGCAGACAATAAGACGTACGATGATGTACGCCCACCGCAGCCCTATGCAGCTGGGAAACCGGAAAGCGATGACTACAATTCATTTCAATGTTTATTTTCGCATGCTTACCAACAGCTCAAAGGCCTTTGTGGTAAAGCATGACGAAGCATAAAATACATATGCATCACAAATTTACACGCTTCGAATTATACGCATGCTTTAAATTATACACATGCTTCAAATTATACACAAGCAGCCGCCACCATGCTTCAAGTAGCATGGTGGCGGCGGCACCACTTCGGGTATGCACGCGGCTGCGCATTTCGCTGGGTGACATTAATTCATTATGCCCGAGCCCGACGCCGAGCGTCATTATTTGACGCGAGACGCAACCGAACACTAACACATCACTCGTGTCCAATCTGCCTTTGGCTTGATCTAACTGCGATGATGTCAACGTTCTAGCGCGTAGTTAGGCTTAGATTATTTTAAAAGACCGTTTCGCATTCAGTTCGACGACAGGAAACACTACGATTGGGAGGAGCCAATTGAAAAGCGCCGAAAGTCAATCGTCAAGGTGCTCGTTAACTTTGTGCGTTTATTGTTACTGCCTAATGCAATTACACACAGCGAATGCGTTCGATACTGTACTTTTCTTTTTTTTTTTTCGTGCATGACCGGTTTAGCTTGTGCAGCAAACTAACAGAGACGGCGAGTCCCCTGACAGTGGTCTTTCGGCATTGGTTTCTTGGCTTCATTGCATAGTAGTCGGTCGGAGGGATACAGACAGGGTATTCGTGCTCACCAAGTTTTTTTTTTTTTATTTTGTACATGACATATTAAAGCCCAACTACCCAGAACACAATTTCCGGCTCAAAATTCCTTTTGTTCCACCCCAAAAACCGCCGATCGATAACTGGCCGGTTTGAATCGCGCTCACTTTCTTCTTTCTGGTCAAGTGCTGTTCTCCTGTGGCTTTGACACACATACCTAATATAGTCAAAGTCGTGGGTCATCGAAGGCAAACACTCAATATTAAAAATAGAGAAAAATTATGATACCCATTTTTTTGTGGCTTCTAGAAATCTTCAAAGATGTTGATAATAAAAAAGTTTGTACAGAAAACCGGAAGCACTCTGTGCATTATCTGCGTAATTATCAAAATGGCGTCATGTCCCGGGAGTCGCGGGTTGGACGGCTGAACGAAGCGGACAAAGCGATTCCGGCGGACGACGATCATAGGACCTCTTTTTGAATGCCTCAAATGTGATATATATTGCCGACAAAAACAATTAGGATTTATTCCATACGACACGCCCGACCACGAAGCTAATTCGCACGAAGAAGACGTCGCCGAGTCGTCGCCCCTTCTCTTGGCTGAAAACAGCGATTGTCTTACGAGCACCGGATTGGTAAAAGCTTAAAAAACGCGTAAACGTCAAACACGAAGTGCTTAACTTTGTTTTTTGTCGTGCAACGTGCGACGTTAGCTTTTTTCGTCTGCTTCAGACCGCCAAAGAAACGAAATAGAAAAAAAGGAGGTCGGGTGTAGCCACATGACTTCCGGCAACTCTCTCCTCCTCTACATTTCAACTTCCTCCCCAGTTCAGTTTCTGTTTTGGTTTCGAGCGATTGCGCTTTCGGACTTTATTGAATATATTCTTGACGCTGCAGCGAAGTATTAATTGGGTAGTCATCTGACAACCATATAAAATCGCACGGCGAAAAAAAAAATTGTGTGTGTGTGTCAGTGCCGTTACAAGGGGGGTGCGGGGGGGGGGGGGGGTGGACCGCCCGGGGTGTAGCGCTCCAGGGGGTGCCGCGGCAGGCCGTGAGAGGGGGGTGGGGGGGTTGCTGCGCGCAACGACCCGGGGGGGGGGGGGGGCGTTATGGTGGGCGAAGGGTGTGTATGGAGAGGGGGGGTGGTAATGTGGCGGGCGAAAAGCGGGGGGGGGGGGGGGGGAAGGAGGTGAACGCAACGAGCCGAGGGGGGGGGGGGGGGGGGTGTAGCCGCGGGCCACCGCCCCGGGTACCGCTGACCCTAGTGACGCCACTGGCGTGTTGGTGTGTGTGTGAGTGTGTGTGGATTAATGTGAGGCGCAGTAGACTGTAGAGGTGGTTTCGGTCAAACACCAGTCGGAGACGCGTTCCGGGTCGGCCAGAGGAGGAGGTATACAGGAAGCACGTCCTCTCGCAGGTGCCCCACTACCTGAGCCACTTCTGGCACGGCATCCCGCCGCACCTGGTGTCGGTGCTGTCGAGCAACGCGCTCATCAACCTGGTCGGAGTGTGCGACAACCTCCTCTACGGGGCGCTGTCGGGAGTGCTGCTGCCCCCGCTCCTGCAGCCCATGCCCGACAGGTGCCCCCCGATCACCCGGTGGCTCTCAATACTGCTCGCAATGAGCTCCCTTCTCGAAAGTGCGCGCCATCTAGTAGCAGCTGCGCCAGTTATTAGAGTCCGCCGGTGTTCGGACACGTACTTTGACCCTGTATTTGGCATGAGTACTGCGTCACCGTTAGTCGGGAACTTGGATACAGTAACACGCTTGATGCCCAAGATATGACGACCACAAATGTTGCTTGCTTGGGTTTTGCGGGGGGTTCATTAGACCATTTAAGACCCACCCTTTTCGGTACCCCATCGAGCAACAATGGCGGTTCCCATTTTTGTTGTCTTTGTGTTTTTTTAGGCTTAGGCAAGGTGGCGCAAGCTACCGCCAGTTACAGAGGTTATAGGCATGAAGATCCATCCAATATCAATCCATCCATGTTTTGGGCGCGGGAAGCCTATGATTGGAACCTACTCCTCGTCGAACGCTGACGGAGACCTCGTGCCCAGTACATGCTCAGTGTATATGTGCCCAAATAACAGCGGGCTCGGATAATCGACGGAGCAGCTAATAAATGTCGCGTACTTTCAAAAAGGGCCTGTGCTGCGCGGGTTGATTTGGCCACCGGATTAATGCGGCGAGATTTCTCTTCCAACGTGTCTCCCGCTGCGATGAAAGACAACGAATCGAAACGCGGCTGGCCGGATTCCTTATTGGAGGCCCGTAGCAACGCAACCTCCCGTATTCGCGACTCCAGCGACCTATAGGGGGCACCACCACCAAACAAACATGGCGACTGGGTCCAGGTCGCGTCGGCTCGGCCGGGCCGGCTGAATGGGTGGCGCATTCAATTTAACAAATTTTCTTTTGTTTAATGCCCAATTTTATGGGTATTTGAACTGAGACGGTTCAGTGTAACCGGTGCGCATAAACTTGCCGGTATTTTTTGTTCTTTTCATGCAAACTTTCGTTTCGGAGACTTCGTTCAAAACCGAAACTATGGGCTCCGGAGAAACGGTAATAGACTCTAATTAGTTTTGATCATCTAAGGAAAGCGGCGATGGCTACAAAATTGTTCCACCGAGAGTAATTTTTAGCTAACTCGCATGCCTCGACCATGCGACTTATCTGTCCGCGAAATTGAGCTTTTGTGCGTGTCCGCGTTTCATGAAACAGCTCCAGTCGCGTGCTCAGTCAAGAACACAGGCTGCAGGAAAATTACGAAAATTAAGCAAGCGCTTCTTGAGCCAAGGAGCATGTTAACCCGCTGGCGCTTTACTAAGCAGCTGATACTCGTATTTAAATGCAGGTTTTATTAGCAATCGAGAAGTCATTTTGACGAATATGCGGATTGTGTATTATATTACGTACTATGGTCCCACTAAAGCGATATTAGTATATCCTTCGGGTTGAAATATGAACTTAGTTGATTATCTATTAGGTGAACTGCTGAATAAAAGTATATTTGACAGACAGAGAGATACTACTTAAACTTAGCCAAATGGTTCTAGCCGGTAGAACGGAGACGAATGCGGACAAACTGAGGAGAGTCTTCATCAGAGATTCACTCAGACCTCTCTGCAATGAACTTGACTTCGAATCCTGAACGGATAAAATGAGTATTTTTTTGTGGCCGGTCAACCTGAGCAATGTAGACGTATATTGCTGCTGGCCTCGACAGGGGTTATAACATAAATATTGGTGGCGCGATAGATCCTAATGCCATGACAGCTTCTAACTTTGCGAGACGCGTCTCCCACCTTTTGAAAGCAGATAATTTCCCTGATTAACAATATGCAGCGAGAAGGTTTTTTGAATCAAGTAATTGTGAAATCAGCCCAACTCCTTCAGTGTGGTCTTGTTCGGCGAAAAGCAGCCAAGATGAATAGCCAATGCACCGGCCGGCGTTAGTGGCTCAAACTCGAAGCTAATCGAGCACAACCAAACTCAAGAAAAGCAGCTATCGAACCTTCCCATTCTCTTGACTGCAACATTGGTGTTCCCAAAGTGAAACACCTCGTCTATCGACCTCAGTCCGCTGTTCTACACCCTTAAAAAGAAACCACTTATTAGTTATCAAGTAGTCGTCACTTTGAATGTGATTCGATACAGACAAGAAATCAAAACGTTTTTCCGTGATTCCTCCCCATCCAAAAAATTGAAAGCACGCGACCGTGTGTTGTGGAGTAAACGGGCTTTCAAACACGTGAATGAAAGAAACAATCTACTGAGGCTTCACCTCACTAATGAACACTCAGGCAAACTTAAGAAATTTTCGGACCTTCGTCAAATTACATTGCTCGCCCCCGCGCCGACAGCACGTGTCCGCGAAAGCCAGCAGAGACCATACTTGGGTAGTAATTTAATTACAGTAATTAAATTACTGTAATTTAATTACTTTTCCTGGTAATTTGTAATTTTAATAATTACTTTTGGCTAAAAGGAATTGTAATTGTAATTTAATTACTTTCTAGCGTCAGTAATTGCTAAATTTCATGCACAATTACAATTACTTTTGCCAGATTTTGCGGCGGCGGCGCTTTTCCTCCCTGGCCACGGAGACGACAGTACAGCCAAAGCGACAGTGGAGAGAGTGTATCCCAACCTGCTCAAAAGGAGGGAAAGGGGAAGAGAGGCTGGGATAGAACGAAATGAAGGATCTTGCAGACTGTAAAACGATTTAATGAAGAATTTGAGAAATAATTTGATAAATGAGGGCTACATTCGAGTCCGTTTTCCTTCCTGTCGTAGTTGAATCTGACTCTTCGTCTCGTTCGCTTCCTGTTGCTCCTGTTTCTAGGGCTCTTTCTTATTTCTCATTCCCACACGGGGGCATCGGGGGTCGAAGTCGAGCTGGTTGGCTCCGATCACATCATCCGGTCGAGGCGGGAAGGTTCGAGGTTCTCCTTACGCGTCTTCGCCGCTAACATATTCGCTTACATATTTCAGTCAAGTTTGGGGACTTTTTTGTTCATGAAATTATTCTCTTTTCTTTATGAATTTTTCACGTCCTTCTCCTCTATCTTGTATGTTGGTACCACTAACAGTAGGTCGTGCTACTCTAACATCGAGGCGAAGAAGCAAAGAAGCAGCAGGTCTCATTAACACGACTCACCCTGCTTTACTTCCAACTGTTGTTGCTACACTGCTCTTCCTTCTCCCAATCCTCGTCTACCGTTTTGTATAAATCTTCATTATTTAGTATTCGCTCTACGTAACCCTTTCAGCCGTTTGTCAGCCTGATTGGACGAAATTCCAGAACTTACAAATCGCGGCTTTAGACTGTAGGGAGCTTGTTTTTACATTTGTTGTTCGTTAAAGGCTTGTTTTTATATAGAGGGCTTGGCTTGCACTTTGTTTTTACACCTCTATCGTGACCCTCCACGGGTTATCCTCTTGTCCTGTCCTGTGGAACCGTCCGGAGGCGCGCGGTGCTGCTTTGCATTGAGAACCAGCAATTCTTATCTACAATGGAAAAGGAAAGGCTGCCAGGGCCTTGTTACGAAAAATTCTTTCAACAGATTAGTAGCAATGTAAAAAATATAATCTTGAGGTGCAAACTCTCCGCACCGTCTCTGTAAATAAAATTCAACAAACCGAAAGGCGAGCTCCAATTTCCGGAAACATTTGCAGGTAGGCAACTTTTTTGTCACTTTCAATAATACTTACAGTTATAAATAAAATATTAATGGCTTGTCTATATCTTCCAACTGAAACACGATCAAGTAACTCATCAGTGAAATCGAGGCGTCCAAGAGGCCGCAGTTCTGGAATAATTCGCGGATTCTAATTTTCGTAACGCGGTGGGGTCGCAATACAGATTCCAATGTGTTTACATTTTACCGGAATTGCTCGCGGGACTTATTTTCGCGAATTGTAGGCGATTCGCGAAAATAAAGTCGTTTACAGTGTATCATTAATTTTTCGAGGTTGTTCTTGGCATGCTAAATTCAAATCGGTCTTCTTTATGAGACGCATAACATCGATACAATCAATTTCTATCCTAAAGATTAGCTACGTGACGATCCTAAATTTATTATCTATCTCAGGAGCTTTTTGGGTGTTACCGTGCACTGAATTAACCCAGAATCCCTGGGAATAGAGTTGCTGCTATTGTGACACTAGTTTTGTGGAAGCGAGCACAGTTCGCGTGCTACGGTTACCCACATCCGGCATGTTACAAGTCCACAGATAGGGAGAGGTAGCGAAGCATCCTGGCTGAAATGTTTCCGTAAGTTGTCGTATTCTTTAAATGTTTGAGGTCGTTTACAAGTTTCTCTTATTAGCCATTTTTACGTGAGTTTTATGATGCCAGTACTGTCGCATATTTGTTTCCTTGTATTATTTTTTAAGTTTATTTTTGTTGGTTTGACTTGGATACCATTTGCATAAGCTCTAAGGAGATTCACCTCGCACCTGTAAATTTTGTCGCCATTTATTTTTTATTTTTTGAAAATATAAGTACGCAGGAGTTCATTACTCCAAAATATTAAGTTCTATAATCCATCTAACAAATTTCATAAAAGAAAGTACAATGCGTGACATTTATACAGCGGCCATATAACTCGTTTACAGTTATATGGCCCAAGGTGGGTAACTCTCACAAATAAGTAATTGTAAAGTAATTGCATTACTTTTAAAAAGTAATTTGTAATTGTAATGAACTACTTTCGCGTAGTAGTAATTGTAATTGTAGTTAAACTACTTTGGGAGCTAAGTAATTGTAATTGTAATTAAATTACATTTTGAAAGTAATTTACCCATGTATGGCAGAGACGTGGCGAGGCGCGGAGCGAACTGGACCGACTGGTTCCCGGTTTTCCCGCTTGGCGGCGTCCGTTTTGCTGGAGTCGCGAATAGGAAGAGTCGTGTGTCTCGGTGGACTCAACACCGACACGTTGTTTACGGACAGGTCTGCGTATGCCCACACCGGGTTTCGGCACTGCGCGTGCGCAGAGGCCAGATTTGCCCGAGGTGAACCGACTGCGCATGCGCCGTGACTACAGTAGCGCCACCGCAGCAGCCTACCGTCAAAGCCACTCGTCACTCTACACTTGGTTTTACTTTCCCTTTAAACTTTCACGTATGCAGCACAGCGATCGCTTATAATTTGGCGCTAGAAAAGTGCCGACCTTGCTGATGCGGATCTGACTTGGCGCGATATTACTAATAGAGCGCTTGTACAGCGGTGCATCAATGCTAAGTTACGTTCAAGTCGGCACTGCATCGGTGCTGTTGTGTCTAAAAGTAGCCTATCAGGGTTGCTCTGAAGTCACGCTGCGCTTACATCATACAAAAAAAAAACACGGTGTTCGTTGCAGACATTATGGCATGATTACTTGAAGATACTCCTCAAGGATGGTGGAAGCATGCTTGCTTCATCATGCTTGGAAAATGCCCCCCAAAAAATATTTGCATAATCAGTGTGACGGTCACACATGCAAGAAACAGGCCTCAGATAGTCTGCGGACTGTGTCTTGTATGATGCATGAGCAGTCTGACCGCGGCTTCAGTGTTCACTTAACTCTAAATATCAACTAATCAAGCCTAGTGACTAAGAAATTTTAATGCAATCAATCAAATATAGTGACCAAGAATAGTGCATCATCGCGGTTCTCAGTTTAGAATGAAATTTAAATATCAGTCAAATATAAAGGCACGAAAAATCAACTTGCTGCAACGTATATTTAAAAAGAAGCTCCGTAACCCACCTGTGTTTACAATTATGGCTAATTCCTTTAGCTTTAAGTTCCAGTGGACTATTATTTCTTTTTTTTTTCTATCTCAATTCGCATTTTGTCATTAGAACACGTTTTTGTTTGAAAGATGCTGAGTCAGGTGTGACGGCTTGAAGCTGAGCTAGTTGGTTCATGATTGTTAAAGTGCCAGCTGAACGTTTTACGGACGCACACACAGAGGCGAACAAAAAAGGCCGACACAGCTTTTGTTCGTCTGTGTGTGTGTGTCCGTAAAACGTTCAGCTGGCACTCTAACAATGCTGAGTCAGCTCGCGTGGTTGCTTCGCTTGAAGCTCATACTCCCACTTTTTATTTTATTTCAGCGTGTCCCGGGCCATGCGAACGTTCTCCGAGGATCTGGAGAAGTGGCTGGACGGGGCTGTCGCCGGATTTCCCGATAACCTCCGCACTGTAAAGATAGAAAGTAAGCAATTTCGTCCGGGATTCGTGCGTATTTATTCACAATTGGCTGGAGGTTAGAAGTCGTGCTTACACCCAATTGTTGCTATTTGCACGAAGATACCGGTTCTAAGTGAGCGTACGTCATGAGAATTCAGACGTTTCGTAGCACTGACGGGGCGCAGGCACAAAGTTACATTTGTTGGTAATATTGAGCTACACTGGTCATAAGTCGCAACACTGTTAGGTGACGTCGATGGCAGACAGCTATCAGAATGATGGAGTACGTCAACGTACATTACGCAGTCGTCGCGAAAAAAACAGTCGCGCGGTCTGCTATGTAACACCTGTAATCGGAACTTTCACAAACTGTTTAAAAAACAGCACGTTTTGCCGTGTTCGCCGGAGGGCAAGCCGAGTGTCTTGTTCCTTTTATCTCGTCATCTCCGGTTTAAGTTATGTATAGGCAATACATTTTTCTGGTTTTAACAAAAAAGAAATACCCATAAATATCCGCCTGTGTCTAACATACAAAATTGATTAAAGCAAAAACAAGAAACACCGATAACCAACTGTTGGCGTCAGAAATACCAAGTTGGTTAAAAAAAACACCGATTTTCTTTAGACTTGGACTGGAGAGGAGGCCAGGAGGGACTCGTCTTCTGTCCAGCCTTTGCTCTGTTAGAGTGCAAAGAGGGGAGGGGAGGGGCTTGTTCAATCTCGAGCGATCGGACGCCAAGAGACTGCTCCAGACTGGCTCTCGCACTTCCGGCAGCGCAAAAAAAAAAAAAAAAATAACCAGAGTGTCGTGATTTGAGATCCAGTCTTGTATGGAAAAATTGAATGTGTATCAATCGCACCTTTTTTGTTTAGAATGCTTAAAGCCCGTAGATTGTGCTATGACCATAAATCGACCATCTCACAGATAAATTTAGAACCCCTTAATGAAACCAGGACAAGCTCTTCCCGCAATGCGGGAGGCCTTCGGGGAACGAGCTTGACCTGGTTTCTAAACCTGCAATGCGCTATAGCTATATGTGAGCCGGATCAACACCACCTAGAAGTCAAGGCCTGCGCATGACGTCATCCTTTGTGGATCCCCAACGGCCGCCCCAAGCGGCAAACGCGCCGAAGCTCCACGAGAGTCGCCGCCAAGCGGCCGACGCGTGTGCTTGGCGTCGTCGCTCGCTAGTGTCCTGCTCGTTGTGAGACGCTCCAAGACACGCTGACGACGACGCTGACAAAATCTGGGCGCCGCCCGGTAGACCCAGCTGTGATGACTAGACAGCCTATCATTAGGAGAAGGTCTAACTCAAACCTCGGATTACGTTTGAAATGCAATGGCGGATGACTCTTACTAAGATCGGCTGCAACTGTGCTTGCGTTGTGTTGTTGCCTGGCGAGGAGGAAAACAGGCGCTAAGGTGGAAGCGCGTATTTATTTATTTATTTTTTATTTATTTACTCGTTTGACCCTTAAAGGCCCCAGTTGGGCATTACACAAGGGCGTGGGGAGGCAGGACACAGGACGCTAAAAACCACCAAGAGCAAAAAAAAAAAAATAATAAAAGTGAGCGCCACGTATAGTACATATTTTAAAACAAGAACAGTACTAAAATATGTATTCCTGAATTATATAAAGGGGCCTCATATATTAAAAAAGATATTATGAAGAGTACAATGGTAAATCATAGAAATAACTTCAGCACTGGTAATTAGCAGCAATATCTAGTTATAAAACAATGAGGCCAATAGGCTGGTGTCACTGATGTCTACGATGGGGTTGGGAAGGCCGTTCCAGTCTCGTATGCCTCGTGGGTCAGCGGAATTGATGCCCCTGCAGTCGAGCTCCCTTCCTTGTTTGGCAACCTCCTCACCTCCTCCGCTTGCTCTCCTTCCCCCAAGATTTCCCTTTCCCGTACTCCCACGGAGCGAGCGGGCTGTTAGTTAGCTTGAAGACGAAGATACATGTTGTTGAAGTTGAAAGTTTGTCTTGTCTGTATCGTCCCTTATGTGTCTCCACTTTCTAAATGTTTACGTAAGTTTCGTAGGCTAGTTTCCGAAGACAAGGGTGTGCAGCCTTGAGGTTACGCCTAATGTATACCAGGGTTCGAGAATCATTAACAATATGTTGCAACGTTGGTTACCGATGAGAGGTCAGAAGTGAAGTGAATTCCTGAATATTTGTAAGTAGAAGCAATGTTAATTGGCGTGTTACGAAGAGAATAGGAAAAGAAAGAGATTTTTTTTTTTGCGAGTAAAATTCAGTAGTTTTTATTTTGACGTGTTAAGGAGGCATTAGCCATTTGTCACACCAACTATGAATGATCTCATGGTCGCTCTGAAAAAGTAGATGTTCATCTTGGTGGTTAAGTTTACGGTAAAGGACACAGTCATCTTTAAACAAACGTATATTAGAGGACAGCGATGTGGGAAGGTCATTAATGCAGACAAGAAATAGAAAAGGGCCAAAGACAGTGCTTTGAGGGACGCCAAAAGTAAGATTCTAAATTTCAGCCTGGAAGTTCCGATTTACAAATAAAAACAAAGCGAGAAAAAGTTACGGATACATGAAAGAGTTAGTGAGTCAAGATTTAGTGGGGAGAGTTTTGATATTAAATTTCAATGCGGTACACGATCGAAGGGTTTAGATAAATCAAGGAACACGGCATCAGTTTTTATTCATGTTAACATGAAGGACATGAGTGAATTCAAGCAACTGCCTATCACATGAAAAGCCTTTCCGAAATTCATGGAGATATTCATAAAATAAATTGTTATATTCATGATGCGATGCTACATGAGATAATATTATATGTTCTAATAACTTGCCCACAACATTAGTTAACGACATGGGACGGTAGTTATCCGCAGAGTGACGGTTGCAGCTTTTGTGCCTTGGAGCGACCTTCCCATTCACTCTTCCCTGCATGTGGAAAGCAGGCAGTAAAACACGACTGTGTGAATAGTAAACAACATACTTTACTGGTTACGTCCTTAGTAAATTTTAAGATCTTTGAAAAAAATGTTTCGACTCAGCCGACGCAGCCGAGACCGACACTTTTAGCTCCTTCTCACAGCTCATGTTGCAAACGCGCCACCCGTGAACCACATCATACCATTCGAGCGGTTGGAAACACCCTAACGTCTAGGCACAGAAGTGATGACGTTTGCGGGGGAAAGACGAGGGTCTTGGTCTTCTATTTGTCCGATGCCTGGTTCGAAGCCAACTCGCGTCCTGTACCTGCGACCCGCAGTGGGTCGGCGGTTCTCGCAGAGCCTGCGGCGGCACCTGTCGCTGAGCCAGCTGGTGCAGGCGTGGCGCGTGCTGGCCCGGGGCGGCAGCCAGGGGTCCGGCCACATGCTGCGGGACTGGAGTCAGCTAGACCTGACGGCCCTCTGCCAGGAGACCCTGTTCGGGGGACAGCAGCAGCCCAGGCCCTCGCTACACTTCCTCTACAGACGTCAGTGCCACAGCGGGTTTAGGGGCTACGCTCTTGCCCGCCCTTCACTCGCATTCACATTGCACGTACAGAGCGCGACACTGTTAGCGCGAACAAGCGATCGCCGGTTTTCCCAGTTTTTCTCTTTGAAACCAAGGGATGTCATCCAAGTTATTATTGCTACGGGAAGAGCTCATTTAGTTCTATAATGTAAGCGATAAAATTTCATGCTCGCTAATACTATCTAGAAGTAAAATGCGAAAATCCGCCGACGCCGTGTTCGCGCTAACAGTGTCGCGATGTGTACATCATGCAAAAAACACGCTGTTCGCGCTAGACATTACGACAAACATATGCTCGAGGCATGTATGCTTCAAAAATGTCCGCAGACAGTTTTTGTGTGAGAATAATAAGAGAACCATCACACAAGAAACAAGAGTCTCAGACTGCCTCCTGACTGACTTTTGTATAACGTTTATAAAGCTGCAGTCACACTTCTCGTAGGTTGTACCAAACATGTTCGCTGTAGACATAATGACAGAATTATCTACTCGATCAAATCACGTTTGCTTCGTGCGTCTGTATGCTTGAAACGTCTCTGCAGACAGTCTTTCTTACGACGAATGTGGCAGGGCGATCATGCAAGCGAGACACACGCTTCATACAGTGTCTGCAGACTGTCTTTTGTATGATTTATTGGGGGAGTGATCGCGGCTTACACTCCGTTGAGCTCGCGTAATTCACCATCCAAAGTATGGTGGGTTAGATGGGGGAGCCGTAACGCTCGCGTGGACGAGAGCAGCTTCCCGTTTTCTGCGAGCCGCATGCGGTACGCTCGTCAATCCGATAGAAGTGCGAGCTGCGAAAGCTGTGCGAAAGGTGCGGATGTCCCGGAACTTTAGACGCCGTGGACGCTGACTGGAACTTGCTGGAACGCGGAAGCGACGAGAGCGGCGTGAGCGTGCTGTCGAGAGTGAAGGGACGAAAGTAGCTTGCGATTGCGGAAACAGAGCTGCGACCAGGGGTGCCGCTGCCGTCTGCTATTGGAATATACCGCACGCTGAGTGGCGGAAACGGAGGACCACTCTCGCTCGCTGGGCCTGGCACGTGGTCGTCACACCTTCCCTTTCTAGCTTACCATATCAAACGAACGCAATAGCAACTGAAAAAAAAAAAAAATACAAAATTAGCAAACGTTAGAAGAAAAATTTATTATGCAGAATTACGTTTTACGGGGAATTCAGCGGACGCTGCCGTCCACCCTCGGCACTCCTGGCAAGCGCCGCAGTGTCTTTTTTAAAGCATTCCCTCGTTCTTCTTTTCTAAATATTCTTTGTGTTTGTTTATTATTTTTCTTGCAGTACATATGCACGCGGTGTGAGGATGATGAATATATTGCTGCTTCAACCCAATAGAGTTCCTGAAATAATTGGCTATAGTTGACATTAAGCTACATTGATTTATCCAAAAAGTAACGAGCACCTTGTGTCGAAGCAACCCTTGCATCGAGTTGCAACGAAGAAATTACTTCTGTCTAGTAGAACATATGACGATATAAAATAATATAAAACAACGTCACTGAAACCATTGGATTTTAAATTTGACAGAACAGCAAATATGAGCAAAAGCAGAGTAATTAGTTTTTGTTCATTATCTGTTTTTCTTCTTGTTAGGCAGGGTCGAGAAACACCATGATTTGTTTTGGAAGGATAAAATAAATTTGACTTATTTAATTCAAATCGGATGTATTTGATTTAGGCTACTGTATCTCAAAAAGAATAATAAGTACTTTATTACAAAAAATGAAAGCCGTTTACAACTTCCTGTAACGCCGAATTAGAGCGCAGCTCTTGAGGAGGAGGAGGGAAGAGTACTAAGGGTCACGTGTTCTCGGGAGGTGACTGTGGGGGGTCACGTGACCTTGGAGGTGTCATGGGACCTCGGGGGTCACATGACCACGGCGGGGAATCACGTGAACCCCCAGGTCACGTGACCCCCCAGCGAATGTTTTCTTCTAAATTTAGCGGGGAAAATTTTCCGCTAGATTTAGTGGGGAAATTTTTCCGCTAGATTTAGCGGGGAAATTTTTCCGGTAAATTTAGCGGAGAAATTCACCCATAATGTACTGCGGGGTTAGCCGACGGCGACGCCGCTCAAGCCGGAAGCGGGCGCCTAAGAGCTGCGCCCTAATATGTATTTTTAAACATAAATGATTGATTTAACAATATGTCGGACCACTGATAATATTGGGGAAGAAAGTAATTTAATTAACATTTTATTGATCTAAACTCTCCCCATTAGGAGAGAAATAGCTTGATTTCTTAGGGTCAAGTAACCATCTATATTTTCTGTCTTTTTCTTTTGTTCTGACACACTTAAAACAAGAAATTACTTTTCTAGGTGTCATTTCTTTGTTTCGCTTTCTGGTTTGCTTTACGCAAGTGATGAACGAAGTGGAAGGTAGGAAGATAGCTCAGTGCTGCAACTACTCAGAGGAGCACTGTTTCTTCAGTGTGGTCAGCCTTATATAGATCTTTCTTTCTCGATGATTATTTGATTTAGATATAGGCAAATTCACAAAGAAAAAAGAAGAAAATTATGAAGAAAAAAAACAAATAAAAAATTTCCGGGATAATTTTTGTGGGGAAGGTTTGATTTCAATCAGCCTTCTATAACTGGTCTGGTATATATTTTTATTAAATCACGATTTATATTACGATTGAAATATTATTAAAGTCACGATTGAACTCAGATAAGATCGCAATTAAAGAAACTATTTAAATGGACTTGATTCTTATTCTTCACCCTGTACCCAATAACCTACCTTTGGTGTTTTCTTTCTTTTTAACTTTAAAATAAAAAAATCATTGGTTTATAGAAAGACTCTAGTTTTTGTGCGTCATCCTTATTCCTGCGCGAGGCACATTTTTTTTACACTTTAAAAAAAAGTCGTACGTTGCCTCATCTGTGCGGCAATATAAAGTGGGTTCAATCAATTTGACGAAACCCGCTAAATAAAAAAAAAAAGAAAAAAAAAAGTCAACGCGTTTTGCATTCAAACAAAAATTGCTTAATGCACTAGAGGTTTATTAGTTTCTAAAGCCCGGTGTATAGACAAACTCTCGGCTCTGACGTCACGGCCCGCTGCGGTGGCGCTGCTGATGACACGGGGCGTGGGCAGGCTCTCTGCACCTGCCATGAATCTGGTTCCTGTGCACGCGAATACTTGCAGTGGGAAAACGCGGGATTGTGCGAAAACAGCGTGTTGGCCTCCCTCTTTTCAGTGGTCAAAGAGTTTGAGGCATTTCTGGCAGAAGACACCCCCGTGGAAGTCTATCTAGACTGGCTCGAAGCTGTCATCCGGAAGACCGTGTCTTTGGTGAGGAAACATTTTCGTTCCAAAATATATCTTTCTATTTTTTTATAAACCCTCGTGTCGGGAACTAAGGGTAAAGCATGATGTAAATTAAGTGGCATTAAAAGTTTTGCTTACGTATTTAGCGGTATTTCTCGGTCTGAACTCATATAAGCGCACACTGTGGTACTTGCGCCGCAGCCCAGCCTGCGGAGAGGGCTCTCTGCTCGAAAGCTAGCTGGGGAGTTCCTGCTTCTCTGGTCGGCCTTTGGGACAAGAATCATTCGTGACATGACCCTTCACAGTGCGACCACCTTCGGTAAGTTGCCATGTTTTCATTTTTCAAATATTGCAGGTCATCTTCGAGACCTAATTCTCTAGGGTGGCAACAGTGTTTTTTAAAGCTGTAAAACGAACCGGAATAATCGACGCCTGCACATAGACACCTCTAACTTTCTGCGGATGTGCATCAAGGCGGTGAATGTTACCTTGTGAACTTTATTTCGCTAAATAATTAGAGCAACAAACTTGCCGGAGTCAACGGCGGACGTGTTCGCAGACGACTGACTTTGCGATGAATGTAACTTGTGGCGCCATATCCAGACAGGCGCAGCTAGCAGACAACAAAGTGCGTCTTGTGCTAGAAGCCCCTATCGTGGACAACATGTAAAATTGCTATCTAGCACACAATAATATTTATTTTTTATTAAAATTGCGGTGGCTATGCATATGCTTTCCTATTTACCTTATCTTGCACTTACCTGTTTTTTTTCGCCCCCGTATAAAACCGTCTGCAAGGCTCGCAAGACGTGACCACGAAACCGACGTTTTAGCGTTTTATAATTAGGGTTCGGAGCTTTCGGTTTAAACCGATAAAAATCGATAAAAGTACGCCGAACCCATTTTCGAAATTCGGTTTTAACCAAAAAAGGTCAGTTTGTAGGTTCGGCGTTTTGGGTTTAAACCGATAAAAAACCGCTAAAAGTACGTCTAATCCGTTTTCAGAAATTCTGTTTTAACCGAAAAAAGGTCAGTTTTTTAATGCCGCGTCGAGGGGAGGGGGGGGGGGGCGGGAGAAAGAGAGAGAGAGAGAGAGAGGGCTTTGCAAGGTTTAACATTGTGTGACGTCTTCTTGATTGCTTTCTTCAAAGGTTGATCATGCAACAAAAGAGGTCTTGGATTGGCATTCGCGGGACATCTGTTTTTTTTTGTGATCGGGCTCAGTGTGTCAAGTTTCCGGTCATGCACATCAGTGGACATCGAAGAAAGCCTAGCTGTGTTTGGAGATTTATGTTTGTCCTTTGTCCCTCTTGTTCCCCTTCTCCAGGGATTATTTTCGTCAATACCTTTCATCTATCTCTCTCTCAAACTTCCCTGTGCTAAAAAACATAATAACAATGCTTTTTTTTTTTTTTACCATTCCGCTGGTTTTTGTACGGTCATCACCTGAGACGGTTACGTCGTCAAAATGGGAAGGAAAAAGAAGCGCGCTGAAGATTATGCCTTCGAATTCCGCAATTATGAGGTGTGTCCTGACGGAAGCTGTAGCGAAGACCACGTATATATATGGGTAGTTATTCTTTGAGCGATCACAAATATCACAGATACAAGGATCATCTGATCCGGTGTCCGATGGTGTTTCTTTCATATTCACAAAAAAAAAAGAATCGTAAACTATTTTGGGAATGAACGTACACCAAAAAAACCAACGAAAATTGAATTTTAAAATAAACACTGAAAAATGTACGCCGAATTTCGAAAGAATAAAAACCAAAAACGCGGAACCCTATTTATAATGCATGTGCCACGGTCCACTACACACGTCTGTCAGGGTCTGTCTATGTGTTGTAAAAAGCAACATAAAAAATAAAGACACAAATTTTTTTTTTAGCTTTTGTGTTTTTTTTTTGTGTGGCTTGAATAGCGTCAGGGTTGCGAGGTACTTGCAGAATAACTCGGCAAATTTGTGTGCGATATAGCCCTGAAATACCAAAATGTTGGGCTAGAAAAATATCCCAAAACATGAAACTTCGTTCAAGGTACTTGAAACATCTCTTTGAAACACTAATGATATATACAAGACATAATGCATATATTTACAAAATAATGCAAAAAGAAGACCAAACATTACTAGTTTCTAGAACCAGTGGCGGAGCACGGGTATATCACTGCGGTCGTCCGTGGATTCACAGGGGGCATCGCAAAGCCTTGACCACTCCACCCCCCCCCCCCCCCCCCCCTTCAATTCCGCATGTGTAAAAATTTAGAGCGGTGTAAGAGGGGGGGGGGGGGAATGTTTGCTTATAAATCTGATACGCTGCCCAAATTTTTAGCTGCGCCAAATTTTGAAATAACGGAGGGAAAAGTTAATTGAATTTGGTTTTCACGGCGTGTGTATAAGGCTCGGTGGACATTAGATACGTGTGTAACATTTACTTTTATCAGAAAAATTAACTAATATTCGTTAAAGTACTTTTAATCAGTGTAATTAGGATATACGTCTATATTTAAAACTTCGAGGCGGTCTTATGCCAAGGCTCTTCCATTTTATAGAATTCGTGTAACCGGCTTGTTTTCCTAGATATCTGCCCCCAAATTTTCTAATTAATCCAACTTTTTCCACTCAACCCGGTAAATCCGCGAAACACTGCACTATAGCCGACCTTTGCTATATTAACCGGAAAAAAAGTGCGAAATTCGGGGACGAATATCGCGGAACAGGCACTGGTTACGCGAATTCTACCAAATGGAAAAGTCTTGGCCTACGACTGCCTCAAAGTTTTAATATAAACATGTATCCTAATTGTAGTAATTAAAAAGATAATTAACAAGTTTTAGGTAATTATTTTATTTATAGTCATAGTCATATTACCATTAACGTCCACCAAGGCAAATAAACATGCAGTGAAAACCGAATTCATATAACCTTCCCCCTTTATTTAAAAAAAAAAGAAACAAATTGGTGCAGCTAAAAACAAAAACAAAAAAACCTGTATATCGTTTATTATCAAACGTAAATATGCTTTGAATTATAAAATAAACAAAAGCTACCAGGGTTGAAATAAAAAGTTTTACAACAAACATTTCATGCGTCAATCATTTCTATAATCAATGGGAGCCAAGAAACGAAACGTAGCTAGCTAAGCATCTTTTGCTACGGGCGGGGCCTAAAGCGGGGATACCTCCACCTAAATCGCGTCTCACGGCGTAAATATCATTTCAGTGTCCCTGTAAGTGAGTTGTTATCCGGCAGGATCGTTCCATCTGCTGCGACTTCTCCTGGACGAGTATGTGCTGTTCCTGCTGGAGCGCGTCCTGACCGAGGACTTGGTGCGGCAGCTCCTCACCAACGTCTCGCGGGACCTGGTGCCTTCGGTCTTCCCTGAGGTCGGCCTGGCCGGCCTCTCGTCCGACCAGGGCGGACGAGGCAAGTGGCTCAGCGAGTCGCCGCTGGGCTCGGGCTTCAAGGCCCAGGGGTTTCCGGATGACCACCTAAGCTCGGACGACACTGCTGAAGGTCGGTGATCCAAAGGCCTGAAAATAACTGCTGCGCATGAAGGCTGGTCTACATACCTGCGACTGCTTACGACAGAGTGCCTTAGATTCTCTTGGGATCTCCTACGAGATGAGAGCATTCAGGCCCCATCTATCGGGAAGCCATGGGACATTTAATGGTCCTGCATATTTTTGTGTATGTTTTTCGCTTGCCCTTTTTTTTATAAACTACTTTTTTTTATGAGTAGTACGTACATTTGACCTCACAAATACACTTGCGAGAACGGAGTTTTAGAGGTAGGTATAGTTTTCTAAAGTTAAAAATATTTTATATTTCTGTTTTTCGTACATTTCCACGGGGGAAACTTTATCTTGAAAAAACAAGCCTTTTCTCAAATAGCTGAAACCTGTTACATTGTCCGCCCCGGGTGCCTAATCCGCATGTAAAAAGTGCTCATACACTGTGCACCTTGACAAATTCCTGATTTATTAGCTTGCAATGTAGTCTGTGTCATATCTACATAAGTCTAGAAAAATAAATCCTTGCATAGTCCGCACCTATAGATAGACCGCACCGAATAACATCTTTTAAACGTGTATAGTCCGTGGACTTCGGAACATACGCTGTATCTACAGCGTGAACGAAATGGATGGAACGTGTTTTGAACTGACCGCGTCATTCGGTTTCTTAGTTATCGCGCTGGGATTTACTGCAAAAGTGCTCGAAGCTGGTGCATTCATCAATTGAGAGTATGAATACATGAAAACTCCGGAGTCAAAAGAAAGAAGATAAAAACTGATTTTGTCTATGAAAAAATTATCGCTAAGCCTTTTATCTCAAAATCATCGAAAAATCGGTATGGGCTATTCTGGGGTTTGCTACGATTGAGCAATTTGTGAAATGGAAAGAAAATAGAATTGGCTTACCTATTCTTCATTTTATTTGTCTCAAATAAGCGTCACAATAACACATAATATTTTTAGTGTACAGTGCTCATCACACTTGTCTATAACGCGCGAGCGTGCGGCTCTCTCCGGGGAGCGCTAGACTGGTGGCATTCGCGGAAACTAAGCTAGTCACGTGGCGCGACATGGAACGGCCCGCTCGAGGGGTGTCGTGCCCACTCTATCAGCTTGATAAGCGATGAAAGTAAAGTGCTTTATGATATATTTTTGTTTTTTGATGACGACATCGTTGATACGCCTTCACGCTTTAGTTTGTTTATTGTACGAGCAATGATGTTTGTAAAAAGCGTGCGAGCGCCAGCATGATAAAGTGGGCAGGACACCCCTCGAGCGGGCCGTTCTATGTTGCGCCACGTGACTAGCTTAGTTTTCGCGAATGCCACCAGTTTAGCGCACCCCGGACAAAGCCGCACGCTCGCGCGTTATAGACAAGTGTGATTAGCACTGTACATGCAAAGTATAGAAAGAACAGATATTTTGATTTTTGTTTTGGGTTTACTTGGGTGAGCTAATCTTTCCACAATTTTAGCGAAAGCTTCCATCAGCTTCAGGCACCTCTGTAGTAAATGCCAGCGCGATATCTTAAGAAACCAATTTATGCGGTCAGTTTAAAGTGTGTTCGATCTATTTCGCCCACGCTGTGGTGTCGGTGATCTTGACCTTTACACGTTACCTGGCTAAACCGTGCCACATGTCTGTTCCTTTCTTAATTGTCTGTTGTGTTCGGTTTTTAGTACAGATTATAATTTATAAGTAAGGTTTTGTGTTTTCGGGCTTTATGACTATTTAAATTCGGGGGTGTTTCCTAGAAATAATTTTTTTTTTTAGGCATTCAGTGTTTTTCAGTGTTAACTTCCGGTGTCGGACCGAAAAAAAACGGGGTTCACTGGGGCTTATCTTGAAGGAAACAAATCGCTGGAATGGGATTCCCTAAACTCCAGTGAACATGCGTGTGATTCGAATCCTTGGGAAGCCTTCCGGTATTAATGAGTAGAAAAACTGGGGGAAAGAAAGAGACAAGAGCGGGAAGTCAGAACGCCGAGCTCTGGTTGGAATGATTAGCGGGTAGACGAAAAGCTTGCTGTCTTTGTCTCCACTGTACTGTTGGAGCGCGTTCGATCGCGAACGCCAAACGCCTGCGCCGGCGTTCCGTGTTGTAGCGCGTTCGACGACTGCAGCGGAGGAAAAATTAAGGCTCCAATCTACGCTGTGAAGGTGGTTGGATAGCGAAGCTCTGGTATGACCTGCAACGATTGCCCACTGCGCTATAGACTCTCTTTATGGCAAACCCCACCAGGTGGTGCTCCAGTTTTTGACGTCATAGAGAACTTCCGGTTTATAAACAAAATGAACAAAGGCCACTTTAACACTGCTACTTGAAATGTAGATGTCACGTTTAATCACCAATTCTCCAGGTGTACGCCAAAAGAACAAAGGAGTGCGAGATCTGTTAAAATGTTTCGAGTAATCTTGGAAACAAACTTGCCTCCTCCAAGATGTAGTATTGTACAGCCAAAGGCCCTCGTTAAATCTCCAACTGGGATATCCGTGTAGTATTTCTGCTTTCAAGCATTGGTGACATAAGCAAGCTCAACAGGCTTGCAAAGACGGTGCGACCGGAAGTCGCTTCGGACGCAGGGGCAGTTCATGTTTGAAAACAGCAAAAGAGTCTGTAAGAAATGATTGACGAAAGAAAAGTAAATGCACTGTACCAAAACTTTTTTTTATATATATAAAATACCTCGTACGGTGGCTTTGCCGCGGCAGCTTATGCAACCGCAATCTTTACCGCGCAACGCATGCGGGAGCGCTACGTGCTTCGCATTGTTAGCGGGCTAGCGAAGTCACTCCCTACTTCGTACTCCGCGGTTGCGACGGCAGCTCATACAACCGCAATTGTTACCTAGAAACGCATGCGGGAAGCGCTACGTCCTTATTATCTTTTATGTGGATTTGGCACTTTTGTTGTTTTTATATTTAAACATGCGTCAAGACCACGTGATAAGAAATAAGGCGCGCGCGAACGGTGATAAGAGCACGCGTGGGTCTCCTTTCGACTACTTTATCTGTCGACTACAGCTCTGTCGACGGACACGAAAAAAGCCGACCAATGAGTCGTATACAGCTTCGCTGAAAAATGTAGCATATGCCTCCACTGCACTGTTCGAACGCTTTTGAACGGAAATACCAAACGCCGGATGCCGATTTTCCATGTTCGAACGCGTTTAACAGATGTTGTGGAGACAAAGGCAACTAGCTTTGGGACTACCCACTAATCATTCGAACCAGAGCTTGGCGTTCTGACGCCACCATGTGCTCTCGTGTACCACTCACCCTCAGTTTCTGTCCGTATAGGAAATGTTCTGCCCTCATGGGAAATGGAAACGAAATAGCGAGTATGATTCCAAAGGAAGAAGCAGCCTAGTGGACAGTTTATTTAAGGCTGTGTTCTGGGTCATCACGAAGTAAAGCTCTACAGTCCGCTCCGTTGCAACTCAAGAAGGTAGGGCCAGGGTAAGACGGACCGGGGAGGAGGACGCAGACGGAACGCTAAAGAGAGAAGGAGGCTTTTCTTTCTCTTTTCCAGCGTTCCGTCTGCTTCCTCCTCCCCGACCCGTCTCACCCTCGCCCTACCTTCTTGAGTTGCAACGGACTATAGTAGTTGAAGATCCTTTCCGTGCAGCTTGGGTTTTTCTTATTCACGGACAGCTCTATTGCGGGTGCCTTTCAGTTTTATCTAAATTTTATAAAAAGCGACTCGGGGTTATTTTTGGTGTTTATCGGTATCTACCAGATACACAAAACCCTAATCAAAACTTACCTTCAATTAGGAGTGGCCAACAAAGCAGGCTGTTCTTTAACGAAGCATGAGATTTCTTCCGTTTTTTCTATGTTGCTTCTGCAGGTTTCCATGGTCAAGGAGGATCCCCTCCATTGTGGTCACATGGCAATGGCGACTGCTCTCACACGTAGGTTTTTCCGTATATAAATTGAGAAATCACTTCGAATGTTGAACAAATGCTTCACTGGTTGTATAAGGCACGCACTAACTCGTATTTTAAAGCATATACATGTTACCCAAACAAGTAACTAAATACCTTTACTCGCTCCAGGCTCAAAAAGTAGCAAAATAATTTACTCACTACCGGTTCACAGAAGGAAGGCTTTATTTTGCCTCAAAAGTACTAAGTTACTTTTCTCATTACTTCGAGAACCAAATACGCAAGTGCTTTGCTTCATGGCTTTTTTTTTTTTTTTTTTTCAGTAGTCCTTGCACTTAAGCAGTAGCTCCCTCTCCGAGTTTTCATCAGTTATGTTTTCTAGCAGTTGATAATGGGTTATGCCTGTTGGCAACCACCGGGTTTACATCCGGTTCGTAGACGATTTTAGAAGGTTCAAGCAATCAACCTTTTTGTGCTCGCTGGATGACGGGCATTACTAGCTGTAGAGTTCGACTGACGTGTTAAACAATAAGCGTCGCTATACTGTCATACTGTTTAGTTGTCTTTTGGGTTGTGCATCTGCCTTCGTCGCAGTAGACGCATACTCAGGCGAGAATGAAAGCAAAACTGTTCATTTGATGTTGCACACGTTACTCCTTAAAAGTAACAAAATACCGTCTCTCGTTACTTGAACTTAAAAGTATAAGTACGTTAAACATAATATAGGTAAAACAGCGCAGAAGGACAAAGAATGGAAGAAAGGAACAACCAAAGCGGGACAGGCGTTTTATTTACAGTGTGTTTAGCCAACACCAACTGGCCCAGCTTTCAACTTTGATAAGTACGTTACACGTTCCTTTTCTGGAAAAGTAACTAAAGGAGTTACCCTATACAGAAAAAAATAACTAGGTAGAAGTAGCCCGTTACTAGAACGCGTTGCGTACATGTCTGAAATTTCATCTAACGATGTTCCGCAACGAACGCCACCAGCCATCTAAGCCAATCCAGTGCTCCATGGGCGCCACACAACTTCAAGGTCCGTGCGCCACTTCACGGTAACCGAAAAGCCACGCGTCAAGCTCTGAGCTATGAATTGGCTCCGGTATTGTTCCTGGAATGCTTCTGCGAGTGGTGTGGTTACCGCGCCCTAAAGACTGTGTTCTAAATCTTACCCGAAGGTATTCAAGTTACACCGGTGGGTCAAGTCACGTGACCAGAGATAGCGCAACGCGGGACGCGTGTAGTTTTCCGAACTCCAAGGTGCATAACATTTACCTATGCATGGCTTCCACATGACGTCATTCAAAGAGCGTTCCCATGATCACCAGAGAAGAGGGGAAGAAGGAGTTCCCCTCTTATCAGAACCCTCTTTTGTGCCTCCCGGATTTGCACAAACGTCGCTATTCTCCTCCCAGAAGGTTATAACAGATTAACCCGTCACTCAAAATTCTTACAAAACCAGCATCCCCCCTCATCTTACATGGTGTCAAAAGTATGCGATGTGACGTCAGTGCCAGCCATGTAGAGTGAGATTCAGTAAATATTAAAGCATGACTAAAACGTTGATCATCGAATTACGCTTGGTGACGTCCCAGAAGTGTCACAGTGTCGCTGGATGAGACCCTGTTCTGCTACGAATCGCTCTCCGGCTTGAGAGTCCGCGGAAGATTCAATGGCCATTGGTTGGGACTCCGCGATGACAGTGACGCTATAGCGTTCAGTCGTGCTTTATGCCGAGACTTCTGTCACCAACTTCCAGGATCGCGACATCCGACCACATAACACAATTGCTTTTCTGACATCATTTGTTGCTACTTTGAACCACTTTTGATGTATGGGCAGGAGAGGAAGCTAAACACAGCAGTCGAAAACGTATTCCAGGCACTGTAGTTCCGGTGGCTCGTAGCGTTTTTTCCGTTACTATTGCGGACGATATGAGCTGCAACTGCCCTGTGTGCTTATCTGGCATTACTGCCATTTTTTTAGAGAGCTAAAGTTCGAAGAAGGAATGGAATGCGAAGTTTAAATTCCATATTTAAGACTTCTTGACAAATACAGACATATTACAGCTTGGGAATACCACAATGTATGAAGAATGAACAATATTAAATAATGATAATGATGGCCAGCACGATTCTCCCAGCAACATGAAAACAATGGTGTTTTTTTCTTTGGTGAAACTCAGCTGGCGTGTAGCACACATAAGAGACTTGGGATAGCTCATTTTAGACCAGCAAGTGATACAACTCATTGAATAAAAAGGATCTGAAATAATTGGTACAATTAGTATGCCAGCACATGCCAAAAAATATATACACGGTGTTTTGTTTTTTAGAGCGCAGCTCTTAGGCGCCCGTTTCCGGCTTGAGCGGCGTCGGCGTCGCCGTTGCCGTCGGCGTAACCGCGCGTGACCCTCGTAACCCTCGTGAGGGTTACGAGGGTTACTCTCGCGAGGGTTACGAGGGTAACCCTCGTGATCCTCGTGAGGGTAGCAACCCTCGTAACCCTCGTAACCCTCACGAGGGTTACGAGGGTTACTCTCACGAGAGTTACGAGGGTTACCCTCACGAGGGTCACAAGGGTAATGAGAGTTACCCTCACGAGGGTCCCGAGGGTTATGAGACCCTCACGAGGGTTACCCTCACAAGGGTTACTAGGGTTATGAGAGACCCTCACGTGAGAGTAACCCTCGTAACCCACACGAGGGCTACGAGGGTTACTCTCATGAGGGTTACGAGGGTTACCCTCACGAGGGTCACGAGGGTTATGAGAGTTACCCTCACGAGGGTCACGAGGGTTACCCTCACAAGGGTTACTAGGGTTATGAGAGTTACCCTCACGATGGTCACGAGGGTTACCCTCACGAGGGTCATGAGGGTCACCCCCCTGAGGTCGCGTGACCCCTCCCCCGCCGAGGTCACATGACCTCAGGGAGTCACCTATCCGTCAGTACCCTACCATCCTATCCCTCAGTACCCTTCCATCCTTCTCCTCAAGAGCTGCGCTCTGATCCGGCGTTACAGGGAGTTGTAAACGGCTTTCATTTTTTTTATTTAAAAATTAAAAATGCAAGCCGTTTACAATTCCCTGTAACGCCGGTTAGAGCGCAGCTCTTGAGGAGAAGGAGGGAAGGGTACTGAGGTTCACGTGTTATCGGGGGGTAGGGGTGGTCACGTGACCTTGGAGGGGTCACATGACCCCCTCGCCAAGATCACGTGGGGGTCACGTGACCTATGGGTGTGCAGTAATTTGCACTAATGCACTAATTTAGTGTTTTTCGATGACGCTCAGCATGTTTCTAATTGGAACCACATGTTTATTTTCACTACTTAAAAAGCTACTGAAATTTTTGTTTTGCTATTTCGCCGATTGATGGGAACGACGAGCCTCTTAAAGGGCAACTCCACTCAAAAAGTCGGCCCTATCGAAATGAGTGATATCGCTTTAGAAGGTCAAAATACGGTCATACCCAAAATATCACGTCAAACCGACGCCGCGTTACCGATTAAAACTAATATTAAAAATGTACTCCCGGCTCGGTTAGCGGCCCAAAAGCGGGTGAGCAACGCTGGCACCGGGTGAGCTAGTGAAGCAACACTGGGCAATGACGTAGTTCTAGTCCTACGCTCTCGTACGGACGCCGCGAGCGCTTCGTTTCCCGTGGCATTCTGCGATTCTGCTGACGGCACGAGGTGTTTACCACATTATTTCGAGTTTCCCTATTTTTATTAGCCTCCAGGCAGTTTGTAGTGTTTGAGGGGCTATACTGCATTAGGATATATGCGCAGGAAGGCTTACGGTAAGACCACGATGGCGTGGAGGGCAGCGGCGGCCCGCGGCCAAGCGTACACGCCGAAGGAAAAAGGACACGTCCAGCCCCGACGAACGCTGCTATACACTTCCTCTTTATTCACGCGCACAAGGGCGATTAAAGGAAAAGGGGCACCCTGGTGGCGATTCATAAACTCAATTACAACATTTCTCCCTTCATAAAATAAAGCAAAAGGAGAGCAAAAAGAAACGAAATCTATCAGGCTACGAAAAGTATTTACAACATATCATTTTCTTCCTTCCGTAAAATAAAAAAAGAGAGAACATGAAGAACGAAATAAATCTGGGAACCAAACTATTTACAACACATCCTATCCCGCAACGTTTCATCATGGGCACACAGGGCACAAAAATTCATTCAGCACACACATAATCGCAGACATAGTCGTCGAGCCAAGCTGGTCGTTGCTTGGGTCGCTGCGGTCGGGCTGGGTGACGTGAAGCTGGATAGTCATTCATCAGCCCACCAAGAGGAATGAAAGAAGGTTGCTCCTGTTCGATATTGTCATGATCCGGAGTTGGTGAAGCAGATCTGGCAGAGGTTGATGCTTCGCTGTACTCGGTAGTTCCGCTCACTTCCGGTGATGACTTTGCGGGGGAGGACTGGTCCAGATGGCTTGGTCTAGGGGAACTTCGCTCTGATTCTACAGAGTGTAGACCAGGCGGAGGAGGAGCACTGGCGGACGCTTCACGACCAATCACGGAGGGTGGTTCAGTGCCGAAGACACCAGGAGGTGAAGGAGTTCGTGAGAAGCTGACGGGAGGAACGGCAGGGATGGGCTGAAGAGGTGCACAAGGAAACAAAGCTTCATCAGCCGCCCAGGATGATCTGTGTGGTCTGTGTGCGTACGTAGGTTTGAGAGGTGTACGAGTAAATTTGTCGGCATTCCATGTTGTACCATCATCAAGTGTATATGTAGAAGGACCAATTTTCGCAGAAATCATCTGTGGTTCAGAATACTTGTGCTGAAATTTACCATGGTCTCTTGGCTTATGGACCTTTACATACTGTCCTGTTTTAAAAGATGGCACTTTCACTGCTCGCCTTGAGTCCGAGTACTTTTTCATCTTTGCTTGGTACGCCTGTACCCTTCCCGGCAGGTCGCGCTGGACAATGATCCGAGGTAGAGGTGGATCCGGAGTTGCTCGTCCTTGGATGTGTAGGCGAGTCCGATGATTTCTTGCATGCAGCAGAA